ACGAGACCAAAGGATTTGTAGTTAGTTTTGGTGATGTAGAGATCTGATCTTAGTTTTTTTATGTTAAACACACAGATATTTAATGATTTTGTTTTGTTTAAACGACTTTTATATCAAATGATTTATGTGTTTCTCAACCTTTTTTTTTTGCTTCTCATTCATTTCGTGTTAATATGTGTACTCCTTTCGTACTAGTATATGTATTCTTCTCTTTCCTGCTTTGTGTCCATACTCAATTTCGACAAATATTAACTATGAATTTTCTTCACTAAATTATGTTTTTACTTGTATTTGTTGCTGTATTTGTATTCATATCTGCGACTAGTAAAATGTAGGAATATATGACAAATTAATGACACATCTGATCTATGTACAATCCATTGGAACCCCTAATTGTGGGTCCTATGTAGATCCCAACAATATGATAGTTATTCCAATCTTCAACCCACACTAGGAAAATTTATAATGTTTCTCGAGAGAATTTGTTATGAAGACCGCATAGATTTCACTTAAGATTGGGTCCACGCTATGCGCAGACTTTCCACCGCACTTTTCGTTCAATCCACGGTCGCCGGCCCGCGCACTGAAAGCGCACTTGCTCCATAAAATAATGTCTAAGATTATTATTGTTATATTTATTATATTTTTCCAGCAATGTCATAAGAAATTGTGTTGATCAGTTTTGATGTGATTTACTGTATGTTTAGCTTGTTACATTAGCATCTTTAGTCCGACAAGAAGAACATAAGCATGCATACCGTGTTTTCAGTCTTAGAAACTAGATAGTAATAATTAAAAAAGATTAGAAGGTTGAGCAACTTAATTCCCCCTATCCGCTCGGTCAGCCTTTTTGGACTCCCGATAATCAAAGCACAATCTGTATGCGCGCTCATATATTGATGTAGAACACTTAGCAGACACGTTTATGTTAAAGTGGGACAGTCGCAAGCCCAAATATGGACCTGGTCGAAGAAAATAATTTGTTTCGAAGAAACGGCCGTAACTTTCAAACCGTACGTCGGAATTGGACGAATTATATATGAAAATCGACTATCTCGACGAGACGGAGCCATCCAAATCTACACCTCCGGGTTCGGTTTGCGTTCTCAGCTTCGCCAAATTCCTTACGGTTTGAGAGATATTTGCATTTTTGTCCGTTTTTACTATTTTTAGTAATATTTTAGGAGTCTGTTTTGTTTAGGAAACAAATCCGATTTGATCTCAGATTTGACCGGAGGACTCTCCTAATCATAAGGAGTCTTTTTAGGAGTTTTAATGTTTTAGGAATTCTTTACCATTTTTGGTAAGTTGAGAGTCCTTGTAGGAATTAGAGTCCTTGTAGGAGTCTTGTTTCTTTTTCTATTTAAGAAAAGTCTTGTAAGCCCTAGAGGCATAACTTTTGATTAATAAAATTTTATTTTTCCTCAATATTTCTTCGTGGATTCGAAGCTCTTCGTGGATTCGAAGATCGTTCTTTGTGGATTCAGAGAACACCCTTGGTGAATTCCGAGGTTATCACTTCCGCACTGCGTCAATTGGTATCAGAGCCTTGTTCCTCCGATCCAATGGCAGGTGATGAAGCCCCTATCTCTCGAACTGAGTTCGACGTGCTAAAGGCCGATGTCAATCAGATGAAGGCTGTCGTGGAGCGAATAGCAGCGGCAGTAGAGCGTCTGGAGATGGCAGGAGATCAAAATCGTGTTGATGGTCACCAAGACGTGAACCGACTCCATATGAAGATTCCGACAGTGAGGAAGATCACTATGCACCCCCACGCCATGGTGTTTATCGCAGAGACCGACGACAAAGGGATAATTATGACGCTGGAGGTTTCAAGATGAAGATGGATCTGTCATCTTTCAACGGGCAACTTCATATTGAAGAGTTTCTCGACTGGATTGCAGAAGTAGAGAGGTTCTTTGAGTATATGGAGATTCCTGAAGAACGTAAGGTTAAATTGGTGGCCTACAGACTCAAAGGTGGAGCTTCGGCTTGGTGGGAGTCTGTTTGTCTGAATCGATCTCGTCAAGGAAAGCCGAAGGTCGATAGGTGGGAAAAGATGAAGAAGCTACTGAGAGTCCGTTTCTTACCAAGTGATTATGAACAAGTTTTATTTAGGCAGTATCAGAATTGTAGGCAAGGTCCGCAACAATTTACACGAGAGCGAGGCGCAGCAGATGTCTCGATACATTGGGGGATTAAGGATAGCGATTCAGGATCGTGTATCTTTGCAGCAGACCTATACATTGGCAGACACGGTTAGCCTAGCCGAGAAGGTGGAGCGACAGCTTGGACGAAATAGTAAAGGATCGTGGGCAGCTTTCGACGGTTTGCGCACAAACTTTAATCGTGGTGGGAATAAACAGTCTCAAACTGTTCCTGATCAAGATTCTACGACAGAGAAGGGCAAGGGGCCAGCGACAACCGCAGCGAAGAAACCTACTCCAGCGAACCCTTATGCCAAACCTGACCCGATCAAGTGTTATAGATGCGGACAGCCTGGTCATCGTTCCATGAAAATCAATAGGACGATAAGTGGGTTGTTCCTTTAAGATGGATTTGAGATGATTAGCATTCCACTTGCGAGATGCCCGGCTATATCCTTCCTTTCCTATGCCTCCTCCCAAACAACTATGAGTACCACAAATTTTTTTTTACATAGAATCTATCACTATCTCTACGGCGGGTGCAATGAACCATCCAAGCACAGTTTACGGCCTTGCATTTTACTGTCACTCTTCTACGTTCATTTTTTACAAAAGCAAAGTTAAACCCTCGTGCAATAGAGTAATTACTTAAACTCCGCCGACAATGCTCAACATCATCAAATTCTTGACCAACACTTCTAATTGCATTGTGCTATGCAAGAGGAATCATACTAGAGCTCCCAACTTCCCGAGACATATTTTGTGAAGAAGAAGGATTTTGTGAATAAGATACGTGTTCTTCACTAGAAGGGATGTATGGATTCCTGCATAAAAAATTGTACAAGAGTTTAAAGAAATCCATAACTTTAAAATTGATGGTAAAAGTATTAATGTATATCAAATGCGTAAATTACCTTATATGGACAGTATTACATTGTTGCCCAAATAATATCTCTCGATCCATGTCAGCATTCATGACAACTACATTCTCCTTGCAACATCGATGTATATTGAACATTATCAATACATCATCATCATCACATACACGCACATACATTTCTTGTGTGTGGGGTACTTTGTAAGTCAACTTCATCATGCTTGCATTACAAGCAATTAGACTTTGCACCGCAACCGCCAAATCATTGTAACTCCCGTTGACATTTAATTTTAAGAAGTGATTATTTCCTCTAAAATCCGTCAATGCACAATACAATTCTTCATCCATCTATGTTTGTCATCAAAAATAAAACAAATTTAAGGAAAATTTCATCAAAAATAAAACAAATCATTGTAGCAAGTTACACTGCAAGTATAGCGGGTTATCCTGCAAGTGTAGCGTGTTACACTGGAAGTGTAGCGTGTTACACTGGAAGTGTAGCAAGTTACACAAGTGTAACGTGTTATGCTGTAAGTGTATCAGGTTATCCTTTAAGTGTGCGGGTTATATTGTAAGTATAGCGGGTTAGAGTGTAAGTGTAGCGGGTTAGACTATAAGTGTAGCGGGTTAGACTTTAAGTGTAGCGTGTTAGACTGTAAGTGTAGCTTGTTATGCTGTAAGTGTAGCGTGTTATGCTGTAAGTGTAGCGTGTTATGCTGTAAGTGTAGCGGGTTATGCTGTAAGTGTAGCGGGTTATGCTGTAAGTGTAGCGGGTTAGACTGTAAGTGTAGCGTGTTATCCTGTAAGTGTAGCGGGTTAGAGTATAAGTGTAGCGGGTTATGCTGTAAGTGTAGCTGGTTAGACTGTAAGTGTAGCGTGTTATGCTGTAAGTGTAGCGGGTTATCCTTTAAGTATAGCGGGTTATATTGTAAGTGTAGCGGGTTAGACTGTAAGTATAGCGTGTTATGTTGTAAGTGTAGCAGGTTATATTGTAAGTATAGCGTGTTATGCTGTAAGTGTAGCGGGTTATACTGTAAGTGTAGCGGGTTATCCTGTAAGTGTAGCGGGTTATATTGTAAGTATAGCGGGTTAGACTATAAGTGTAGCGTGTTATGCTGTAAGTGTAGCGGGTTAGACTGGAAGTGTAGCGGGTTATGCTGTAAGTGTAGCGTGTTATACTGTAAGTGTAGCGGGTTAGAGTGTAAGTGTAGCGGGTTAGACTGTAAGTGTAGCGGGTTATTCTGTAAGTGTAGCGTGTTATGCTGTAAGTGTAGCGTGTTACGTGTTACACTGCAAGTATAGCGGGTTATCCTGTAAGTGTAGCGGGTTATATTGTAAGTATAGCGGGTTAGACTATAAGTGTAGCGTGTTATGCTGTAAGTGTAGCGGGTTAGACTGTAAGTGTAGCGGGTTAGACTGTAAGTGTAGCAGGTTATGCTGTAAGTGTAGCGTGTTATGCTGTAAGTGTAGCGTGTTATCCTGTAAGTGTAGCATGTTATATTGTAAGTGTAGCGGGTTATCCTGTAAGTGTAGCGAGTTAGACTGTAAGTGTAGCGGGTTAGACTGTAAGTGTAGCGTGTTATGCTGTAAGTGTAACATGTTATATTGTAAGTGTAGCGTGTTATGTTGTAAGTGTATTGGGTTAGACTGTAAGTGTAGCGTGTTATGCTGTAAGTGTAGCGGGTTAGAGTGTAAGTGTAGCGTGTTATGCTGTAAGTGTAGCGGGTTATCCTGTAAGTGTAGCGTGTTATCCTGTAAGTGTAGCGTGTTATCCTGTAAGTGTAGCGGGTTATCCTGTAAGTGTAGCGGGTTATATTGTAAGTATAGCGGGTTATCCTGTAAGTGTAGCGGGTTAGACTGTAAGTGTAGCGGGTTATATTATAAGTGTAACGGCTTAGACTGTAAGTGTAGTGGGTCAATGCACAATACAATTCTTCATCCATCTATCTATGTTTGTCATTAAAAATAAAACAAATTTAAGGAAAATTACAACTAAAATCAAATTATGTGAAATTAATCAAAGATTATGTGAATTAATGAGTGATCGAATAAAATCAAAGATTATGTGAATTAATGAGTGATCGAATAAAATCAAATTTAACTAAAATTTTATCAAATATAAAAAAAATTATGTGAATTATGTGAAATTAATCAAAGATTATATGAAACTAATTTTTATGTGAATTATGTGAAATTAATCAAAGATTATGTGAAACTAATTTTTCCTTAATGTGTGGTTGAATAGTAACAAATGTAACTAAAAAATGTAACTAACAAATTTAACTAAAAATATAAAAAAAATTATGTCAATTATGTGAAATTAATCAAAGATTATGTGAAACTAATTTTTCCTTAATGTGTGGTTGAATAGTAACAAATGTAACTAACAAATTTAACTAAAAATATAAAAAAAAAATTATGTCAATTATGTGAAATTAATAAAATATTATGTGAAACTAATTTTTATGAATTCAGGATTAATAATGAGAAATTAATGTGAACTAATAATGTCAAATAATTAATTAACGTGAAATTATGTTCAATTAATGAGTGGTTGAATAGTAACAAATGTAACTAACATTTTTATCAAATATATAACAAATTTAACTATTTTTTATGAATTCATGAATAACAATTTTAAATGATTTTTATTTGTTATACTGTCAAATATAACAAATTTAACTAATTTACATGAATAGCAATGTCAAATAATTCATGAATAAGAGGATGAATTAATGCAATAAACTTGGTAGATGAGTAAATTGAAAATTATACCTTCAATTGTTAAGAAAGTGATGAATATCCACTAAAATCACACCATACACATTAATGGAGTTGAGAATTTAATGATGGATTGATAAGTGGGTGAAAATTAATTGATGGGTTTAATGGAAGAATGTAGTATTAATGGATGGGAGAGGGAGTTAATTAGGAAATGGAGAGAGAAAGAAAGGGAGGGAGAGAACGGGATTTATTTCCCGCCGTTTCTCTCCTCTCCCGCGCGGGTAGAGGAACAGGGAACGTGTCTCTCTCTCTCTCTCTCCTCTCTCTCTCTCTCTCTAAATTTTTAATATTTTACATTTTTAAAGGGGCCCACCTAATAAAGAACACATTATTAAACTGTAAAGGGTAGAGTTGGAATTAATTTAAAAATTTTGGGGGGCCCACACTTACAAGTATTATATTTTATAAGTTGGGTTTAAAGATAAATACCCAAAGATCTTTGGGTTTATGGATACATGAAATAGTAAATAGGTTTATAGGTAAAGATGAGTAATCATTTGGGCTTAGAAATAAAAAACCCTTAATTTAAACCCACAGCATAGTAATTTTTAATTGGCAACTGTAAACAAATAAATAAATATAGCAGACTAGCCGAACAGAATCTTACTCACAGTCACTCTTCAGTATCCACTGTTACCGTGTTACATCTGTACTGCTTATTACCCGAAAAAGACCGCAAGTGGAGTAAAACAGCGAAAGAGAAAAAGCAAAAGCCGGCTCTTTTCTTTTTATATATAAACTCTTCTCCAGATAAACAGACAGAGAAACGTACAATCCACCCACGCACCCTCGGGTCTCCCGAGTCCTACCCTCTTCCCTCTCCTCCGCGTTCCGCCCTGTCACTCTCTCGTTCCTCCTCAAACCCTAACCCTAATTTATGGGCCCAGTCTCTCCCCATGTTCTCCTTCTCCTTCCCTAGCAAGAAATTCACCATTAATGCAGCAACCACATGAACAGCCGGCGCGCCCGGCGGAGTCGAGCGCGCCGCAACGCAGTGAAGAACAGCTCGACTCCGACGGCCCGCCGCCTCCCCCTCCGTCTCCCGACGCACGTGACGCTTCACGCGCTCCTCGATCTCTCGCCGTTCGTGACTCCAAACCAGACTAGCTTCCGCAATCGGCGGCAGCGTCGATGCGCTAATGTCGATTTGATCTGCTCGGAAGCCTTAGGGGCTCTCGGGGGCGTTGCGATTTTCGCGATCTCGGAGGCGGTCTTGGGCAGGCTGAGCAGAGTCTCGGGCGATTCGTCGTGCGCCCCCTCCTCCACCTGCGTCTCTCGCTTCTCTCTCCTTCTTCCGGGAGGCCGACTGGAACGGCCTGCACGCGCTCCTTGGTCACTCTGGTCACTGCCGCCTACCACGGAAGCGGCTGGCTGTCTTCTAAGAATCGAGGCTGAGGGTTAGTGGGAGCCCGAGGGTTTGGAGGATGAGAGTAGTGGGGGCTGGAGATGGTGGGGAATTAAGGGCGCAAGAAGGCCCGCGTATTGCTGACTCCGCCGTCGACGATGATGTCGATCACTACGCAATCGGCGCCTCCGACGATGTCAACAACGAAGCTGAATCCGTCGCCTTCATCGGTTCTTGCTCCCCCTCCGTCGATTTTGTTGCCAGAGTTTGAGAAGATCGGATCTACTTGGGATTTGGTGATGGCGTTTGCGCCTGATGATGGGATGGAGGAAGGGAGGAGGAGGTGTTTTGAGTCTGAGGAGGAGGACGAGAGGTTGAGGTTGAGGGGAGAGATTTCGGAGGATGTTACATCCACATCCTATGATGACGATTCATCGAGCACAACGACAGAGGGTTTGTTTGTCATTTCTCCAAATGGGAGATTCAACAGAATTATTAGAGCTTGGCAGAAGGGGCAGCTTCTTGGGAGTGGCTCATTCGGGACGGTATATGAGGGGATTAGCGAGTAAGTAGATTGCTTTCTTGATTTCGTATTTACTTCATGTAGTTCATAGCTATGCAGTCGTGATTTATATTGAGTAGGCATAAAGTTTTGATGATTTCATTCTATTTTCTTTCGTGGTTTCTTTACTGCCCCTGTATGACAAAATTGACAAAGTTTCCACAGCACTTAAAGTAAGTCACCACATTTTTAGCTGTGTTAAGTGTATGTAGCTCAAGTTTTCCGATGTTCATCGATAAAATTGAACACCAATTGACTTACGTGGGAAATCCTTACCTAAGTTTCTCTTCTACCTTTTTTCTTTTTTTGCTTTTCTAACCATTCTGAATCGCATAAGCATTCAGGCTGTCATTATCCTAATCTTTCTTCAAATTGCCATGTGCGAATCTCAGGACATCCTAGGAGCACTCATTATTTCAAATCACATAAGCATTCAGGCTGTCATTATCCTAACTTCACCCATATGCTGCTGGTTAAACTTCACTTTCTTAGATGATTATCATGGAGGATTTTTGCAGATTAGTTTACTTTTCCTTAGATTAGGCTTAATTCTCTATGTTCTTAGACTAGTTTTAGCTCTCCTGGTTGCTATATGAATTGAAATTCAGATACTTGATGGTTTTCTAATTATACATGCAATGCAGCACAGACTTGTTATCATCTCTTTGAATTTTGGTATAGAGTACATAATCATGGTTCCAGTTTCTGCTCACTTTTCTTTCACTTTCTAATTCACCTTCAATTGGCAGTATAGAGAACAAGCCTAAAGTGTTAATTTTGGGCATGGCTACATGCTAAGTTGAAAAGTGCAAACTTATCAACCTGTGCCCAATTTGTAAGTAAGGACAAATTGTACATTTTGGAATCAGAGAGAAAAATATAGGTTTCACAAACTTAGCCGTGAAATGTTTTAGAAAGCGCTAGGCGTCTCTAGGCGCCAGACCTAGAGTTTAGCGCCTAGACGTCTAAGCGGATGATTAAGCAGCACAGGGACATTTTTAACATTGAGAGAGGAAGGATCATTTTCAAAGATTCAAATCATACCCTCACAGTTTTACTTGAGAGAGACTTGGACATAGAGTTTTGATTCGGTACATTTTAACTTGACTAAGTGTCTTCAACCATGATTATGCTTAAGCGAACAATATATTTCTTTCTAACGCCAGTTCGCGTGAGCAGCCTGTTCTCCCCTAGGCGCTCTCAAGACGTAGACGGGTGGTCTACGTACCGCTTAGGTTTAAGCGGCTGCCTAGGCGGGTGCCCAGATCGTTTTTTAAAACAATACCATAATAGAGTGGAAAATATAGGAAGACCAAAAGAAGGCGTGGATGGGTGGGAAAGGGAGACAGATGATGTACTGCAACCGCTGCCGATACAAGTTTGACTTGTGCTGCTATTTCTGTATCCAAATCCACGCAGTCTTATATTAGACCTAACATTAAGTTAAATGAACCAATCCTTTTAGCTTATGCAATGGAGGAAGCAAATAATTTTTTGACGTTCAACACTCTTAGTTTGCCAAATTGTCACCATTTTCAGTATAAATGAAATGACGTTGTAGTTGTCTTATGTAATGAAAATATGGCAAAATAAAGGGAATATTAGAAAGACCTGTTACAAACAATTTTATTTTAGACTGTTCTTATAATGGAAAAATATTAGACCGACTGTTCTTTTCTTCCAAACCGAATGATAATGAACCTCTATTTAAGTCCTCCAAAATTGAAATGAGTCTGAGTTCTATAACCTTATACTTGACATTATATTATTCCTTGAGCCCTTTGGTCCTTAGTTTCCTCATGCCAATTTGAGCTCTGTAGAAGTGTTTAGGAGGCTACTGGCCTCACAAAAGGTTGCATTTGCTCATGTACTATAATTCTTCTCATTGTCATAAATTTTAAGTGAATTAGTGTAAGATTGCATGCATGTCTACTATTATTTGCTGTATCTGCTTCACAAAAGTTTCTTGTCTAATAATTTATCTTGAAATTTGGTCATTTCCCCCCATTCGTTATCTATATTTATGGACATCATATATTGTATTATGACTTAAAAATAAAAAAAATCTATATGCCCGTGAATAAGTCTTATATTAGACCTAACATTAAGTTAAATGGTTTACTAATTTCAAACCAAACCTTTTAGCTTATGCAATGGAGGAAGCAAATAATTTTTTGATGTTGAACAGACTCTTAGTTTGCCAAATTGTCACCATTTTCAGTATAAATGAAATGACGTTGTAGTTGTCTTATGTAATGAAAATATGGCAAAATAAAGGGAATATTAGAAAGACCTGTTACAATTACATTATGCAACCTTTACAAAATTTTAATATGCTCACGGATAGACTACTTCTTATTTTCATTGTTAACAATTTTATTTTAGACTGTTCTTATAATGGAAAAATATTAGGCCGACTGTTCTTTTCTTCCAAACCGAATGATAATGAACCTCTATTTAAGTCCTCCAAAATTGAAATGAGTCTGAGTTCTATAACCTTATACTTGACATTATATTATTCCTTGAGCCCTTTGGTCCTTAGTTTCCTCATGCCAATTTGAGCTCTGTAGAAGTGTTTAGGAGGCTACTGGCCTCACAAAAGGTTGCATTTGCTCATGTACTATAATTCTTCTCATTGTCATAAATTTTAAGTGAATTAGTGTAAGATTGCATGCATGTCTACTATTATTTGCTGTATCTGCTTCACAAAAGTTTCTTGTCTAATAATTTATCTTGAAATTTGGTCATTTTCCCCCATTCGTTATCTATATTTATGGACATCATATATTGTATTATGACTTAAGAATAAAAAAAAATCTATATGCCCGTGAATAAGTCTTATATTAGACCTAACATTAAGTTAAATGGTTTACTAATTTCAAACCAAACCTTTTAGCTTATGCAATGGAGGAAGCAAATAATTTTTTGATGTTGAACAGACTCTTAGTTTGCCAAATTGTCACCATTTTCAGTATAAATGAAATGACGTTGTAGTTGTCTTATGTAATGAAAATATGGCAAAATAAAGGGAATCTTAGAAAAACCTGTTACAATTACATTATGCAACCTTTACAAAATTTTAGTATGCTCACGGATAGACTACTTTTTATTTTCATTGTTAACAATTTTATTTTAAACTCCTTAAAATGGAAAAATATTAGGTCGACTGTTCTTTTCTTCCAAACCGAATGATAATGAACCTCTATTTAAGTCCTCCAAAATTGAAACGAGTCTGAGTTCTATAACCTTATACTTGACATTATATTATTCCTTGAGCCCTTTTGTCCTTAGTTTCCTCATGCCAATTTGAGCTCTGTAGAAGTGTTTAGGAGGCTACTGGCCTCACAAAAGGTTGCATTTGCTCATGTACTAAAGTTCTTCTCATCGTCATAAATTTTAAGTGAATTAGTGTAAGATTGCATGCATGTCTACTATTATTTTCCGTATCTGCTTCACAAAAGTTTTTTGTCTAATAATTTGTCTTGAAATTTGGTCATTTCCCCCCATTCGTTATCTATATTTATGGACATCATATTGCTGCTGCTTGTGTGGTATGTTGTTTGTGACACACAATAGACTCACATGAAATTATTTTAAACATAAGGAAAAGATTAGAGTGAATCATTCTGATGTAAAAGTTGCAGTTGATTTACCATGATCCCTATGCAAAAAGATGCATCTAACGATGTCTGAATCATCTGATTGCATCTGGAGGATACCAGTGGGTTATCGGATTGTATCTGATTGTATGTGCATCTAATGATAGCATCTCTGAATCATCTGATAAAATTGAACACCAATTGACTTACGTGGGAAATCCTTACCTAAGTTTCTCTTCTACTGTTTTTTTCCTTTTTCTTTTTCCAACCATTGTGAATCACAAAAGCATTCAGGCTGCCATTATCCTAACCTTTCTTCAAATTCCATGTTGCCTTGTGCCGATCTTAGGACATACTGGGAGGACTCATTATTTCATATGTTCAGCTCTTATCATAAGATATTTAGCAATCATTGGGCCACAACTGATTTTGAACTAGCTCAATCTTCAGATCTACAATATGGACTTTGCTATTTTAGGAAAGTTTGTTGTAGGGCACAATTTTTTTATTTGTTACAATCAAATTTAACATCGTCCTGCAACATGATATAACAATATGAAGAAACTGTCATTGCTCTTATTCAAGACCTTATGTAGTTGTAAGCGCTATTGGACTAGCAATTGCAAATATATTGATTATTTTTCTCCTATGGTGTAAAAACTAGGATTTTTTTAATTTTTTAATAGAGTGTAAAAACTGGGATTGATAATATACATTTCAACTGATATGAAAAACTAGATCGGAAAGGTTCCTTGTTTTTGCTTTTAAGTTCTTCTTTCTAGTTAAATTATGTAGGTATTAACGTGTTATCGTGCCTTACCTGTACTTAGCTTCTTTTCACAGGGATGGTTTCTTCTTTGCTGTTAAAGAAGTATCTTTAGTTGACCAGGGAATTGATGCCCAGGAGTGCATTCTTCAACTTGAGCAGGTGAGATAATCTCTAATTATATCTTGACCTGTTGCCTTTGATACTTTATTGCGTGTTTTCTACTTCTCAGATTTACTGTTCTCCCTCTTTACAAATTTTGATCATTTGTAATTTACCTGACCATCTTAATTATCATGAAGGATTTATGCAGCTTTGTCCTTTGACTGTTAATAGTACTATTTCTAACCTTTGACTTTTTCTTTCAGGAGATTGCACTCTTAAGCCAGTTTGAACATGAAAACATTGTTCGGTATTATGGGACAGACAAGGTACTCATATGCTGCCGGTTAAACTTCAGTTTCCTAACCCTGCATAGATATTATTCTTTAGTCTTAATTTCCATGTGTGAGAGTGCTGCAGAAATGTATATGTTTACAGAACTGGTTACTATCTTTTTCGTAGTAATTTAGAAAAATGGAAAGTAATGTGTCGTTGACAGATTTGGACCATCTTGGGTGAATTTGAATGAGTCCCTGTTGATTTGAGACCTTAAATATTTAATTGTATGGTGATTTTTATTATTTTATTATTTTATTATTTCCTCTCATAATATATATGGTTATTTTTATACTCTAGACATCATTAACACCTGATTTTTTTTCTTGAATTTTGCATGGAATATTACTTCGTGATTTTATTCAATTAAACTTTAGATATTATACTTTTTGTTGCACCATGCAATAGAAAATTTGAAGTTTTCCTGCACTATTGATTAACACAATTTATCACTGTTGATTATATGGTTAAATCACCATCAAGTTAGGATGTAACCTGAAACTCTTTTCAAGTTTATAACAGCTCAACCTTGAGTAGGATTTAGGCTGGCAGGTGAATGGACTTAGGTACTTGAACTTTGGCCTTCTGTGAGTTGTTTTACAGTGTAATGAATTTGGTCTACTGGTATGTTAGTTATCTATTGCATATTCTACTTTGGTGTAGATTAGTAGTTCATTTATATATCAATACAGTATACACATCTATTATCTATTGTAATCGTTTTGAATTTATAAGAAATATACACGTGGACATATTCTGCAGGAACTCGCAAAACTGTTCATTTTCCTTGAGCTTGTCACACAAGGTTCTCTAGCATCTCTGTACCAAAAGTATCATCTTCGAGATAGCCAAGTCTCTTCATACACCCGTCAGATCTTAAAGGGTTTAAATTATCTTCATGAGAAAAATGTAGTTCACAGGTAATCAACTGCTCTACTATATGATTGCCCTTGTTCATACTGTATACCTGAATCTTTTGCTGCCCAAGTATGTGGTAATTTTCTCACATGTATCCTTAAACATATTCTCCTGTATTGTATCCAAATTTTCTGTGCCTAAGGTTGCAATTTTGATAATTTTTGCAATTTTACTTATCAAAAGAGCTATGTACATGGCAAATAGATCATCATCATCATAACTATTCTGCTTGATAGGAATGCTCTTCCTCCTGTCTTCTGCTTTTCCATCATTTATTGTCCATTATTTAAGCCATTAATGGCTGCGTTCTACCATTCTGGTTTATTAGGAAAGTCAAGCGTGTTAATTAGAAGTATGACGTGTTGCATGCACTTGCCCAAGATTGCATGTTAATTCATTGTGGTCTACCAACTGCCATAGATTTACGCAATGAAGGGCTGCAGGCCAATATTTCGATGATCATATGAAGCGACAGCTATTAATTGTCCCTCTTATGTAACTGGATCTGTAGTTGACAACCGGACATTGTTGGTTAGTTTTCTTTTCCTTAGATTAGGCTTAATTCTCTTGGTTCTTAGACTAGGTTTAATTTTCTTGATTGCCATATGAATCAGAACTCAGATATTTGATGGTTTTCTAATGACATATGCAATGCACCATGAACTCGTTATCATCTGTTTGAATTTTGGTATAGAGTACATAATCATGGCTCCACTTTCTGCTCACTTTTCTTTCGCTTTGTAGTCCACCTTTCATTGGCAGGATAGAGAACAAGCCTAAAATGTTAATTTTGGGCGAGACTACCTGCTAAGTTGAAAAGTGCAAACTTATCAACCTGTGCCCAGTTTGTAAATAAGGACAAATTGTACATTTTGGAATCAGAGAGAAAACATGGTTTCATAGACTTAGCCTTGAACCCGTAATAGACTGGAAAATATAGGAAGGACAAAAGAACGG